TGCGAGATTTTTGTTGGCCATGTTGCGTGCAATGATGGAGCAGGATGATGGGGCTCGTATGGTGGACAATGTGGGCTTGGAGCAACTTGGTCACTGGAAATCATTGGGAAAACAGCCAAAATCCAGGGATAAACAAAAATGTCTGAGTTATCCGGGGTCAATGGTTTTTGGGGATTTTGGACATCACCTTCAAGTATCTCTTGGAGATTACATAGATTATATATCCACAATAGTTGGGTGATGTTGAAATACGATATTGACCAACCCTAATTTCAAAGAAATGAAGTCCTGATCCCTTGCCTTTGTCTTGATAGAGGGATCGGCTCTACTAGTCTGGGACTGGGTCAACACAATTGACCTGCCGAAGAAGGGTGTAGATCTGATTCACCACATGTGGAAATACATGAACATGTTGATTTTGGGTGAACATAGTGATGTGGAAATGCCAGTCTATTTGGTATTCCAGACTAGACAAGATGGGCATTATTTCCAATGAGGCTGGAACCGAGACATCTTTGACTTCCTCAGCACTTGTACTTGACGGTTGAGACCAATTATTTGGCCATGACTCAAGATTTTTGACACCCACATATGCAGAAAATGGATGAACATAGCGACATGTTGATGTCATTCCCTATACCATCTTCCTCATTTTTGAGCCTTGCCAGGCCAATTCCCATGGCCATGAAGTTGAATTTTTTCTTGAATCCCTCCTGATTTCCCTAGGCAAAGAATGGGATCCGCGGTGCAGAAACTGAACGCCTTGGGCACCAAGAGCTTCTCAGAACCCGTGATCCGCCATGCTGCGGAGCACGCTTTCAAACCACATCAGAACCGGGAGGCCGGGAGGTGACATCTGTTTTTAGGCTGTAAATCCAACTATTGATGGCAACATATCCCGCTTGTCAATGGATAACCCCAGCTTTTTGATCTTTTTTGGATGAATCGGTGTTGATCATGACGTTTCTTCTGATTTGATTCTGAATTTTGATGAATTTATAGAGAAGGTATGCAATTTGAAAGCTGTGAACCATTCTTTCCGAATGTTTTTTTTAGGTGTTCTCTTTCAATATGAACCAGATCATACCAGATCTAAAACAACATCTTTTGCACTGTTTCTTGTCCAGGAGCGTTCTCACTTGGGCTTGGTGCGTTTCCGCAAGCAGCACATGGTGCCGGATGTGGGTGGCCTCGGTTGGAGAACGAAGACTGGACATCTGTTGAAGAACCAGAGCTACTTCCCGCAGACCAAAGTGAACATCTGGGATGTCCCTGCCTGTGCTGGAGTCAACACTTGGCAGGACAGGATGTTGACCTAAGAAAAGCTGTATGATAACATTAATATGTGAAAATCATGGAAAAATCATGGAAGGGGTTTTGCTGCAGAAAAACTGACCCACCGGGAAGGGCAGAAGTGTAGAATATTTCTTGTTGATTGGCAAGGGACATTCTCCAGCTTCTGGTGTTGCAGCATTTGCAGGATTGGCACGGGCCAAAGATGGCAACAGATGCCGAGATGAACTCTTGGCATGCTTGGTTGCAATTTTTTTCTGTTGACTGGTTGGTAGTTGGGTCAATAAGTATGAGACTCGGGCGAACCAAATAAAAATGATTAGCAAATATAAGTGACGTCAACACATTTGACATATGTCAATCTCAGCGAACAAACGATGTGTTGATCCCAATATGGGTTGTCTGAGTTGTCTATCTACAAAGACTGGGATGATCCCAATTGACAAGTGAACATATCATTTATATTCACTTATTATAGTGATCATTTTGGGAATATCATAATATCATCTATTATGATTATTTATTATCTATTGTGAATGGGAATATCATCTATTATGATCCCAATTGACTAGTGATCATTATGGGAATATCATCATGGGATGATGATCCCGATGCCAGGATGGAGCGATTAGATCGCTTTGATGAGGAACAGGTGGGGCTGCAGATCTTGATTCAACTTCGCCGGCTAAAAATTCTCCGATTGATAATTATAGGGCATGATACTACCTGGATTTTTGGAGATGATTATTTTGTGATTATCATCATTTATCATCCATATTAACCAAGAACAGTGGGTTTTCCATGGCTTTCCTATATTATGTTAATATTAGGGAAATCTATCCACCAACTGTGGCTTTTCGATGGGATTCTCATCGCTTCATCGCTTCGCAGGCCGATTGGGAAGCGAAGAAACTCTTCGTCAACACCGTGCGTGCACAGACGTCGGCGCCTGAGGTCATCCTGTTGGTTAAAGCAACGACGAAACCAGCAACAGTTTTGTTCCACTGATGATCGATGAAACCACCAGTTTGTGAAACAAGTGTTTCCACTTTCCAACCATCCACAGCTTCCTTCCAAACTGGAAGATGGATGGTTGGAAAGTGGATTATGTGGATGTTCAAATCCAACTTAAGTTTCACCACATACCCTCTGGTAAACAGCCACATAGCTATGGAAAATCACTATTTTCAATGGGTAAATCCACTATTTCAATGGCAATTTTCAATAGCTATGTTAAATTACCAGAGGGTATATCCCATGAAATCCCATTAAATCATATTAAATCCCATTAAACCACCATTTTCACCACATCCACATCGGCAGGTTGGATCGTTTTGCCAATCGCAAGATCAACCGCAGCATGTTGGAGTCCCAACCCACTTGGGCGCCGCATCATCGCGCCAGACGGGAGGTGCCCCGATATATCTGATGGATGGGTTGGATTAATTTCTGTTGGTGTAATAGTGATCTATTGTCATCATATATATATATATATAACTTGAGAGACCCACTGCCTGCTAAGCATCTGGAAGAGCAAACCGACACCAAAACCTATGATTTGTGGTGCAGGAAGGGTGGCGGAACAGGGTGGCAGGACATTAAGGCTACTGATTTGTGGTGCAGGAAGGGTGGCGGAACAGGGTGGCAGGACATTAAGGCTATTGATTTGTGGTGCAGGAAGGGTGGCGGAACAGGGTGGCAGGACATTAAGGCTATTGATTTGTGGTGCAGGAAGGGTGGCGGAACAGGGTGGCAGGACATTAAGGCTATTTATTTGTGGTGCAGGAAGGGTGGCGGAACAGGATGGCAGGACATTAAGGCTGTTGATTTGTGGTGCAGGAAGGGTGGCGGAACAGGGATGAGGGGGGATGAAAACTATTGATTTTTGGTGCCTGACAGGTGGCTGAAGAGGGTATTAGGAGGGCATCAAGGCTATTGATTTGAGGTATTTTAAGGGGCAGGACGGGTGGCAGAAAAGAGGAGCAAGACATCAAGCCGACGGCGCATGAGATGTAGCACCCATCGGCGTCAAGGAAAAACTTTGTTCCTTGACAATTTTTTTAAAAAATAGCACGATAATACTCACCATGCTTGGTGCTATTCCATGTTCACATCTCACTTGCCCTGGGCTTCTATGGAAGATCTCCGAACTAATGCCCGCTGATGGGTGTTGATCCGCGCTGATCCGTGCTGATCGGCGCTGATCCGCACTGATCCGCGCTTATTAATCGCTGATCCGCTCCGCGCTGATCCGCGCTGGACCGCGCAGAGTCGCGCTGATCCACGCTGATCCGCGCTAATCCGCGCTGATCCGCGCTGATCCGCGCTGATCCACGCTGGTCTGCGCTGGTCCGCGCTGGTCCGCGCTGATCCACGCTGATCTGCGCGGATCTCCAATGTTTGGAAGCAGTCAAGCTGCCTCGGACCAATTTTCCATGTCAAACTCGATTTTCTTTGTTTTTTCTCGATTTCTTGATCGTTTTCATGGATTCTCTTGGTTTTCAGCAAGAATCGATGGTTTTCATTGATTTTTCGATGGTTTTCATTGATTTCGAACTTTTTATGGAGTTTTCCATGTATATATGGTTTTATAGGTTATTCGATGGTTTTTACCGATTTTCTTTATTCTCAATCGATTTTCCATGACCGAGTATCTTGAACTTCCACAGATTTTGTCCAACATGGATCAGCGCAAAGGTCCGCAGTTTGTCCCCAACAGCGTAAGCTGACGGGGTCTTCAGCCCACGGAGAAGGTTCCGAAGGTTCCCGAGAAGGTCTAGGATTTGGTGCAGAGACAGGTCAGGTTCAACAGGGTTCCGGAAATTCCAGAGAAGGTTCCAGGAAGCCCGGGTGCAAAGCCAAGTCAGGTTCAACAGGTTCAAAACTCGGCCCTTTGTATCTGATGCTTTGTCTTTTGTATCTGTGCTGTCAAAATTGTTGATGGCTTGCTGATTGATAGATCTGATCTTTGTGACAAGTTAAGTTTGCACATGTTTGTAGTCTGACAAATGTCATGCTGGCGATTCTCTGTAACATGTGGATTTGTCAGTGCTGCATGTTGATGATTGGCTGCCCAAGATTGGACAGCTTGCCAATGACAAATTATTATGCGCAAACTGGTCAATTACTTGTTTTCTTCCGTGCAGACAAAGACACCTGGCTTGCATTCCACCAGGTGGAAAAGTCAGACTGCCTTGTCCACAATGTGGAAAGGTTACGCGCAAAAAAATGTTGTTTGAGACATTGGGGATATGTTTATACTATTACTACTTTCCCCATGAAACCAACAACAGCAATAGCTTAGGAAATATAGGATATGTACACTCACAATATAGAAGGTAATAAGATATGTTCCCCAAAACACCTGTAAAATTAAAGTGAGTTAGAATGTTGAAAGACCCATTCCAGGAATGATCGTCCAATGGTCAGGTGGTCAAACCATGGAACCTTTGAAAATTCAATCAACATCCTACAGCGCATCACCTGGGGATATTCCTTGCAAAATCAACATGGCTGACATCATAAGATTTTGGGTAGTGATACCAAACCCAAAGTGTTTGAACGTTTTCGCTAGAGGGGCTAGACAGTTTTGGGGTTTGTTGGGCAAATGTTGTTGTGGGGTAGATTTTTGAATCCAAACAGTTCCTTCCAGCTTTTGCGGCTGCACAGGGTCTCTGGACCCGAAGCATTGCCGATCTCAGCCACAGGTCCAGGTGGTCTCAGAGACTCAGTGCCCAGCTCTCTGTCACCCCCAAGAGCTGTTTAGGAAGCTCTGGGGAGTTCAGCAGTGATGTGTGGATTGTTTTCTTGTGGTTTTTGGTCAGCCAGTCAAATCCAGCGTTTTTTACTTAAATAATGTATGTTTTTTACTTAAATAATGCATTGGATTTCGTCACAAGGACAGGCAGCAAACCAGTGCCAAGCTAGCTCCGTAGCCTCAATGCCATGTGGGAGCCACCGGATTTTTCGGACAGGCTAGGTCAGGGTTCTTCTTTCACTCAGTTTTGTTTTGTTTTTTTTGGGGCTCTGATCCAAGTTTCCCCATTGACAGGCAACACTACAGCAGCCTTCGGTAGCCAAGGGACAACAGTGTCAGGCGCAGGCAGGATTCCTTCAGTCAGTTTGTTTCTTCCCTTGTGGTGAACCACAGCAATTTGGAAAGCATACACTTGGAAAAACAACTGGTCATCAGTGGTCTTCACATATCTTGTTTTTCCCCCAGTTTTCACACGGAGGCCAAACACCTTTTTTGGCTACACCATGGCGACAGGACAAGAAGCTTGATACTCAGTCATTTGGTTCTGCAAGGAACAAATGTAGAAACTCCATGTTCTTAGAACAGATTTCAAAGCAAGTTTGGTCAGCTTCCCTGGCATGGTGTGGAATTGAGCAAGTCTCATTCATCACCTGATTCAATCTCGATTGCTGAGGCCTTCTCGCTGTCATGCGGGCACAGAGGTGCAGCAATTGGTGACCTTTTTCAAAGCAGGGATTTTGCGTGTTTTCTTCAGAAAGGGTTGGCAGTAGACATTTAATTCAACTTGAAACTTGAGCGGCTCAATGGCACAAGTTGGAGCCCCCTGACATGTGGTCACAGCGTGGCAAATCTTATCTTGAATTTGATCTGGGGCACAGTGCCCCTTTTCAAAGCATATTTTTTGATATCTATTGATTTTCAACTTGTTTGGTTGGTTTCATTTAGTTGTAATCATTGTGCCAGCCTAGTGCAATGGCTTCCGGTTCGGATGATGTGGCAATGCCCAGTGATGACGAAGGCTTGACCCCTGCCCAATTGATGGGCGTAGGTGCCACTAGGCAATGAAAGCAAATTGTTTTGTACATGTTTTTTTCCACAGACAACCATGTGAAAACAATGTGGAACCAGGGCGTTTCATTGTAGGTCTAGTTGTTGGTGATTGCTGTGAACAAACATTCTGATATTTCGTTATTATTTTTTGTGCAATATTTCTGTTTCCAAGGATTTGACATGGGTCAAGTTATCTGGAGAAAAAATCTTGTGCTGCGCAACCCTAACTCCTGGTGGTATTGGAGTTAAGTGTCATTATGTGTGTCAACTGTTTTGAACATATCTCCAAGTCAAAACTACCACCAAACATCATTTTATATGAGAACCCATTCGTGCGCTTGCAAGGATCAGTGCCTGGACAGCCCAATCATGGACGAAGATCCTTTCGACGGTGTAAGTTCTTGCGAAATGCCAACTGATGTTGAGGAGGAACCTCCATCGTGCTTCTGCTTGAGCTTGTAGAATTGTAGACACTGATGTTATTTCCAACACTTCTCATGCTGATCAAAGCGTGTAGGCTCGACCCCCTACTGCAGCCAATGGCTTTTTGTGGATAGGCTCCAAAACAAGACCCCCAAAAGTCCAGTGGGAAACACTTTCAGACAAGTCCTTGGGACACTCCCGACAAGCTGTGGGTTGGTCTGCCCAATTTTATTTAGGGTTTTGAAGCCCCTTGCCCACAAGACCAAGAAGAAATTTTGTAGCTGAAACATGTTGCGTTGAAGGTCAATCGATCTTTTTTTAACTGGGGGAATGTGTTCATCATGCTAATTTTCCACTTGGGTTGGTCCCCCAAAAAAGGCCCCCACAAGTCCCAAAATCTTTTATAAAATGCAAGGGAAACACAGTTTTTTTTGTGGACTTGTGGGGGCCTTTTTTGGTGAACCAACCCAAGTGGAAATTTACCAGTTCATCATTCAAGGGAGATGTGGAAATAGTCACACACACACATATGTCATGTTAAATAATAGTAAGAATAATAGCAAATAAATAAATATACAGGCAAATAAAAAATAAATACATATACAAGCAAAAAAGAATAATGATGATAGTCAGAATGAGTATTGTAATAACAATCATATAACCATAATAAATAATAATCTATCTATCTATCTATCTATCTATTTATATATATATATATCTCTATGTATGTATGTACGTACGTACGTACGTACGTACGTACGTACGTATGTATGTATGTATGTATATTAATGTATGTATGGTATGGTATGGTATGGTATGTTATGGTATGGTATGGTATGGTATGGTATGGTATGGTATGTATGTATGTATGTATGTACGATATAGATTCACATACAGATAGATAGGTAGATTGATAGATAAGACTAGACTGGACTAGCTTACGTTACATAGATTCGATGAGATGAGGTTAGGTAGGTAGCAAAAAATATTTACATATCCATAATTCTTCGGCCATTTCTCCCACTTGGGTTGCCCCAAGTAAACAGACCCCCCCAAGTGGCAAATTTCATCATAAAACCTGAGGAAAACATATGATTTTTAAGGACTTCCTGGGGTCCGTTTTCAACACTTTTGGATGGGCCATTCAAAGTGGATTCTTTGGTTTTCCAATTTCTGCCATGCTATTGAGGTGCCCTCACAAAGCTTGCTGTCAAGCGAAGTGCCTGGTCCAGTTCTTCTCGAGCCCCAGCTTGACAGCAAAACAATCGGAATGGACGCAGAAGCTCCATCTCATGAGCCACAGCGAGAGAGAGCGTTTCATTTTCAATGTGCTGCGCAAGATGCGGGTTCACGAGGATTGTTCCCAAAGAAATAGACAGATTTTCTTAGAACCAGATTCTGTATAAGGGCCTTCCAAGTAACAACTCAGAAGATGTAGATTGGGCAATAAATTCTTTCTGATGTTCTGAATCCACAGCTGCTTGCAGGATGGCAAGATTCGGTCACGGGGCCCTGGTTGGGAGTTCTGTGGGGCCAAGATGTGCTTCACTGCGTGGTTGGAAGTTTCTGGGATTAGCAAGCGGAAATGCCAAAAGTTCTTGAAAAACATCAGCCTGGGGATGATTGAGCCGCCTGAAGATGGCAGAAGCCAACGACCCCAACGAGATAGTGTGAAAGCAGATCATGCACGAAGCTTTTTCCAATACTTGTATGATCACTTGGCAGAACCCTTGGCCGAGGGAGAGCCCGATCCCGAAGCGGAAGATGATGACACAGAGATCCATGACGAGTTTTCTTTTTGGATTCGGAGTGAAGCATCCGAGAACCCAGTTGCTGCTGCTGTCGCTGCCTCCTCAAAAGACCTTCCTCAGAAGCTTCTTTGCCTTAAGTTCATTAATTACACATGCCATGTGGTGTTGAATACTGAATTTCGATATAATCATGTGTAACTGCATCTGGATCAAACACCAAATATACCAAGAGATGTTAAGAGTCTTTCTGGCCAATGTTTTCCAGGTTGCCTTTGTCCAGTGAAAGACAATTTTTCAATCTTTGTCGGTAGCTGCTTTTGGGCCAAGGTGGCTGCATCCAATGAAATTCTCAGAGATCCTGGACCTCTACCAGTTCACCCACCCTGAGCAGGACACCTGTGGGAGGACCTTGCTGCGAAAGGTGTATGTAGAGGAGTGGCGATCATGCTTGCGCATTCGTAAGAGTTCCCAGCATACCCAGTGCAAGGATTGCAGCTGAGATTTTTGAAGACTGGCACATGGTGTTTTAATTTGTTTGCAGTTTAAAGGGGTGGTTTTGCTGGAAACATTCTTTGGGGTTTGTGAGTTGTGGTGCATTTGTTCTTCATCAATTCACATTTCAATGTGCCGGAAAAGTTGTTTTGACATGTTTCCTGTGCCTAGCTCCTTTCCTTGCCTAGGCACCAGGTTTTCCAAGATGAGACGAGATGCAAGGTCGGAGGCCGACAAAAAGGCTTTCACACAGGCTGCAAATGAACACAAAGCAGGTGTTTTTGCCGACCGATCAGTGGGCAGGAAGCTGATGTACATGTCAGAGAATTGCAGCCGGCAGGGAAGTTCCTATGCACCAGCACATGGGGTACTCTACATTAGCCTCGATGGTATGGATGTTGTGTTTGGGCTGTGTTCATGGTTCATTGTATTTTTCATGTGCAATGCCGACCCCGAACTTAAACCCAACAAAGTCATGAAAGCAACATTGAAAACAATTGTTTTGGGGAGGCTTGGGGGGTCCAATTTCAGGGGCCATTTGTAACAGGCAAGTGCCTGGAGGGTCTTGTTTTTTTTAGGGTGGTGTTGCCACGTGACGAAGGCAAAATTCAAAGTTCCAAGATGCCCTGAGATGTTTGCGAGTAAAGAGTATGAGCGATGCTGGAGGCCTTCTTGCCATTTGGTTTGTGCCATAGCACATGGCATTGTAGAGTGTTACTATGTGATGAACGGTGACTTGAAAAAAGACTCCAACATGAACATCACCTTGATCAATCGCACCATTGACATCGCAATGGCTGTTCTGCAAGACAGAGGTGTTCAGCCACCAGAACACCTTTGTCTTCAAGCTGACAATACATGTCGAGAGCAAAGAAACCAGTTCCTGTTCACCTGGTGTGCCCTTAGCTGTGCAAAAGGACTGTGGGCGAGTGTGAGCCCGGTATTCTATATACCGGGCCACACACACAATGAAGTTGATCAACGCTTTGTTCCAGTAGCTGCAGCGCTGAGCAGGTCCCCGAAGCTGGAAACATGCCAGGAGAGTTGGTTCCAAACAAATTGTTTATTTGTTCATTCGATGTTAACTGTTTATTGTATGCATGGTTGATCAAGCTGAACCCAACCAATGATGTTGTTCCCCAGTGTCCATCTCACTGCTTTAACCAATGCTTGCCAGGACTTTGCTGACTGTCTTCGGGATTCTTTGAAGCCGTCCCGGGATCGGGAGATGCAGGTCGAGTGGGTGCAGTCCTTTTGGGATTGGCATTCATACATGGAACCTTTGGGTGTATCACTAGGTGGCTTGGCCATCATGGATCACTATGAAGAGGTCAACTTTTCATTCAGGATGGTCCAGCGGCAAGACCTGAAGGCTTACCAAGGTTATGACAAGTGGGTTGTGATGACAGATGGACAGGACCTCAAACTTTTGTGTTCCAAGAAAAATTGCGATCAGGGCATGATCAAAGACCAAAGGTAGATAGGTTCAAACCATGTTATGTTCACATCTGTTCATCTTTTATATATTACACACCTGTCCCCCAAAGGACTTGGAAGCCGAAGGTGGCAACCTTGATGAGAACAAGTCAGATGTTTTCCTTCTTTGCAAGCACTACATGCATTCGACCAGGTTGACCCAGAAACCAGCCTTGCTGTTGCCAGCCAACCGCCTTTCCAGGATTGGCCCTGCTCCCACTGAGCACTTGCCCAGGAACACATTCAGTGAACGCCAACTTCAGGAGTTCAGGAAAACAGCAAGGCAAATTGCTTTGGCACCATGGAACCTCATTCGTGCATCCAACTACTTGGTGGAACTTTGTGACAGCAATGAATCAAAGCGTACGTTTGAAGCACCACAGCTGGTTTCTTTTGTGGAAAGTGCTGAGGCATTGAGGTTGAGGGAAAACATGCGACAAGCAGCTGGCCCACCTGAGGAGTTGTTGACATTTGCCCCAGGCACTCCGAAAAGGGTCGTGGTGAATTTAGAGCCGAAGGCGAAACCCAGAGCCAAGTCCAAGAAGAAGGGTCGGGGGCGTGGGGGGCGTGGCCGTGGCAGGGCAAGGGGAGGTCAGCCAGAAGAGTCAGAAGAGGGAACAGGTGTGCCACCACAAGTTGCAGTTGCTCCAGCAGCACCTCATTTGCCTGCAGGTGCTCCAGATCTTGCTGAGGATGTGCCTGGTCTTCCTGTGCCTGCAGGTCCACGTCCAGATCCTCCGGATGTGCCACCACCTCCTGCACCTGTGGTCCCCAGAGCCCCCAGACGGGGATTGAAACGACCGGCTGCTGCTCCGGATGCTGCTGTTGCAGCAGCTGCTGCTAAACCAGCTGCAGCTCCCCAGAATCGCTACAGACAGGACACGATTGACAAGCAGGACAAGCTAGGCTGCAACAAGTGTAAGTACAGTGCTCGAGGGTGTGGACGTTGCAAGGAGATTCATGCCCTTTACAAAGCCCAGCGTGGCATCGAGTAATTTTTCAAAACATGTGTCCATATCTTGGCTTGCGACACTTGGAACCAGTGGTCATCATATCAAAAGAATGAACAGCAATCAGAACCAACACTGTGGCCAACTTTTAGTGCAATGCCAAGATCAACCAGAGATTGCGCAGGGCAGGTGAGCAAAATCATGTGTTCTTTTTTTGCGCTGGCCTACTTGTCTTCTGTAAGGATTTTTTTGGGTTTGGAAATCATTGCCTGCAGCCTGTGCCAGGAGTTCCACTTGTGGTGGCTGTGTCAACGGTTCGGAGCCCCAAAGTTCAGTTGGAAGAGCGAGTTGCACAGCCACACAATTATGATAGGAAAATCGAACATGCTCCAGGCAGAAATGAAACCTACCAGCTTGCATGCCATGTTTTTTCAATTGTCTCACCTTCCTGTCAATCCTTTTAACAGATTGGTTTGGCACCTGGCTTACTTCTCATGTTTTCTGGCACACTGATGAGGCAGGAGAGTTTAGGATTTCCTTGAGCAGCAAGTTTTTATGCCTGGGCCCTCAGTCAACTAGAGTGTATCTCAGGTGACAACCCACAATATTTTCTGAAAGGAAAAGGCAAAAAAGCCGGTGTCTTATCTGGGTCTTTTCTGATTTTTTCCTAACATGCTCATATGAGGTTTGGCCGGGTCAATCGCCTCATTGACCACATCGATATCGATCGGTGCCAGGGCCTTGTGCAAAATGATAACTGACTGTCAGGAACCTGAGCATTGAGGAATTTCACATCATGATTTGGCATTGAGCGACAGCTAGATGTTGATTAGATTGGTTTATCTTGATTAAGTTGAAGCACATGGGATCAAGACTTAAGACCAAGGAGTCTGTGTTATATCCCCATGGACCCACGTGGTTTTCGTCGTGCCTCCTCCATTGACCTTCCCTCGCCCGTGTCTGAAGATGAAGATGAATTGATCCAGAAGAAACCTTCTTTAGACTTCCCCCAAGAAGGCGAAGCTGAGATTCAGCTACCTTCAGATGTAGAAACTCTGATTGAACTTTTGTCAAAGTTTCAATTTTTACTTTTGACTCCACACCTGGTGCCCCCATACCTTGGCTTCATGTTTTCCAGCTGATCAGTGCAAAGCAGTTTCCGTAGACATCTTTAGAACTTTTCGAAAATCAGTTTGGTGCCAAAACGTCTTCAGGACAGCGACATCGATTTGGACTGGACCCCCCGGAGAGACATCAGGCGTTGTCTCAAGTTTAGCCCAGCACCAGGCCAGGTGAAAGCTTCAGGGACTAGTGATCCTGCCATGCCGGTCTACAAGAAGCAAGCAGCGCGCCCAGTGTCCAGAGCAAAGATGGCAGTCAAGGAGAACAGACGCAAGACTAAGAGGTTGCACAAGAAGACCAGTTGGGGACATGTAAAATATGAAAAGGAGGAAGCGCAGGTAGACACTGTGTGCATGGATGTGGCCCTGCACCAGTTGAAGTTGGCCCGTCCATCAAAGCACCACATCATGGAGTTCTACAGCCAGCCTCGTTTGGTCCCTCGAGCACATGAATTTGGCATGAAAGGCTCCATCAGCCTGGATGTGGTGCATGGATGGGATGCTTTGAAGCCTTCGCACCGGCAGATCGCCCAGGATTTGCTGGGGCATTGCAAGCCATCTTTCTTGATGTGCTCTCCACCATGTACTTTTTGGTCAGCTCTGATGACCATGTGGAACTTCAAGAAGATGAAGCCCCAGGAGATTGCAGCTCGCCGGCGCGATGCCAAGGCAATGGTCGATCAGTCTGTCGACAGTTGTTTGGAACAACACAATGAAGGCAGATTTTTCTGCTTTGAACACCCCATGACAGCTTGCAGCTGGACAAAGACACGTCTTGGGAAAATGGCCGAAACTAAAGGCACATACACAGTGGCATTTGATCAATGCTCACTGGGCCTCAAGAGCCCGCTTGGAGAGCCGATGAAGAAGCGCACGAGGCTTTGGACAAATTGCAAAGCCATTGTCAGGCTGTTTGGCCAAGAACAGTGTCAGTGCAGTGTCCCTCATCGCAGGATCGAGGGGTCAGAGCTGGGCATCAAGTTGAGCAAACATGCTCAAGTCTATCCCCCTCGCATGGTTTCCCTGTTGCTTCGCTGTGCTCACGAAGACATCAGCGGATGAGCCAATGGAGGCTGGATTGTTTGGGACAACTTTTCCTATGGCTTACATCTGAAAGTAATGCATCTACTTCCGTGCTTGACATGCTTTTAAAGTTTGAGACCAGCACTGGGTTATGGAATCCATTGAAGGCTCGCAGTCAGATTTTCTTTGCACATGCCGAGGGATTTGATTTGGGGATAGGGAAATATTTTTGAGCATCGCTCATTTTGAGAATTATTATGTATATCGAAACCTTCACAATTACACAACACGATGTATATCTCTAAATAATATTATACAACTATATAGAACTACTTACATATATATATATATATAAATATTTATAGGTATACATCCAAAGCTTCAAGAGTTGAAAATGCTAATCCAAGAATTGCTGGCCGCTACGCCAGGTGTGGATTCATTCAGCTCGAGGTGAGACGCGCAGTGGCACGTTTTTCTCAAAACGGCTTTTGGAAGTCACCAGCACATCCTGACGTACATTATGAAATTCACAAAATTAGGGATGGTTTCCAAAGTTGCACATGGGCAGTCATGAAGCGACAAAAAGAATCCAACATACATCTTTGCGTGAGATTGTGAAGCTGCACTGCTGTGAGCTACCATTATTCTTCAAGGAACTTCTCTTGATGGCAAAGCTTTTTGAGTCTTGTTTTTTCTTGTTCGCCCAGGTTGGACCAGGAGTTTTGCTGCAGACTTTTCTGCTGTAGGCTCTGTGAGCTACGGATCAGCTATGATTTCTAGTGGGGTTGGTTTTTGTCGTCTTTTGATGAATAAGTTTTATCAAAGAGTTTGGTGAACCATGCAGCCTTGCAGGTATCTGTCCGAGAACATTGTGACTCCATTGGGTTCATTGCTGCAACATCAAGGAGCGACTGTACTATGCTGTGAATATTGTATTTTTCTTCAAGCCTGAATTAGAATTTCCCATGGGCTTTGGTGATTTTCATGAACAAAGCTTTCCATGAACGACCTTGAACTAACATATAACATCCTAAACCCTAAACCCTAAACTCTATGGCATAAAAACGGGCAGCATTCCCCCCTATATTTTGATATTTTTTAAAGTAATTAATTTCAAAAAATCATCAGAGATATTGACAAACCAATTTCGTCAGTTCGCTTGAATCTTGGAAGGGGCCAAGCGAATGGTACCCAGCCCATCTGGGGATTGGACTTGGGTTATGAGCTCATTTTTGAACATTCCAAGCTATGTTAGGTTCAACTTTTTTTGATGAAGAGATCGCTTGATTACAATTGTTTTCAAGCGATCTTGGCAATAGTTTCTTACTTCTAGCCTTCTTGGGTTTGACATGTTCATTGGTCCACTTGTCTTGGAGAAAGAAAGTTTGGCAGCAATCGCTTGAAAACAATTGTAATCAAGCGATCTTCAGGGTAGGAATTGTTGAAGTAAAGATTGCTTGGAACTCATTTTTTTTTGATATTATTGTTCAGATCTGACTTTCAAAATTCTTGCTGGCAGGACCTGGCATGGGCTGTGTTTCTTCACATTCCTGGTGGAGGCAGGGCTCCATCCATTTTATGGATGGCTGAGAAAATTAGATTTTGTCAGGTGTCTTGCAGTTACAGTTGCCACATCTGATCTTGGAGGTACATGTGGGCAAGTCGCAGAAAGATTGTTTCCCTTGTCATTTGTCCTGTCCTCAATGGATGGCTTGATTCAGTGGCTTTCCTATATCTTGCTAACCTAAAGTGGATGTGGAAACTTGTTCACAATACTATCTTAAGGAGTGACCCTGTCATATGAGCCCAAAGATTTTTTATATTTAACACAAGGCCGTCCAAACACAATTCAGACCTTTCTCAGAACTCTATCTTCCACTCAGCGTTGCACGACGATCTTAACCCAGGTTCTTCCATAGCAGTGATTTGATGTGTTGGCCTGAGACTGTTGGGTTGCAGTGGCTGAAGTCGAAGTTGGTGAACATGTGTCGGTCCGTGATGTTTTGGCTAGTTTTTAAAGAAGAAGCACCACAGTGGCCTGTTTCCAACCATGGAGACTGAGAGCACTTTCTTGGATCGGCAGTCGCAGCTGGAGTTGAGTTCCAAGCTGGGCCCAGTGCCTAGTGCTGTTCCAAGTGACTACGCACGTGCTGGATGGGAGATCACAGTGCAAGACTGTGCGGGAAAGCATGTGTTGTTACAGTTCCTGGTGTGATTTCATTTGTAGCTTTGATCAGTTTATGATGTAGACAAGTGGGTGTAAGCCAAGCATATGGGAAAACTGTGTGATAATTTGAAGTTTTCTTTTGTATCCTCGTGCTTCATATGATCCACTTGCGCTATGTTGGCAACACTTGCTGAGGAAGGCAGCCCAGGAGCTTGAAGTTGAGCTTTCCTCGTGGATGAGAATTCAGCTGAGAGGTTTTTCCAATGGCGATCTGCTTCGTGGCAGGCGTCACGTTGAACAGGTTTTGGTTTCCCAGTTTCACAGGAAGCTGCTTCTCGATGGAAAGGTTGCAGTTCCATGTGCCTACAATGGGGTCTGGTGGTGGTGCTCACCAGTTCTGAACTTTCAATCTCTGTTCTCATTTGGCCACTTGTCTCATTGTGCTAAATCTTTGAAGTTGCAGTCAGCACAACAGCCAGCACAACAGTCAGCACAATCATGGTTCCCTTCATTTCAGCATATTTCAGCCCTGGCATTTTGAGGTCATGAGCGGTGGGCCTTTCAGTTCACCAAGATCTACTTGGATCAGCCCACCAGCACTGAGGTGGATCGAATGGCATCAGGCCATTAGTTTCAACCGTTCATTAGTTTGAACCTTTTGAGAGAACATACTTTAGGTGCAGCTCGCAGCCAAAAGACATCTGGGTATGGTTGTCGCATGCAAGGGGGACATTGATTTTTCTGATTTTAACAACTAGGAGGCCAACAACCGCGGAAGGGTTTCACCACTGCTGCTTTCCAAATCGCTTGTAGGATTGCTGTCCAATCACTTCTTGACGAATCATGGCAAGCTAAGCTTGCTGTTGTTTGTTAGCCCTTTCAAGCCAGAAGCTCGCTAGTACCCTCAGTTGCCAACCATGGATGTTGACAGTGGCATGCCCCTGGGGGAAGCAGTTTATGTCGCGGACGCAGAGATGTCAGAAGACCAGGACACAGACATGTTTGAAAACTTGATCATTTAGTTTTGTTTCACAAACGTTGTGTTCAGCCAAAAATCCTTGTCCACACAACCCGAAGGGCCTAGATCTTATCAGCTTATCAGCACAGCTGGCTGTGTGGCATCCTTTTTGCAGGAAACGCAGAGCCTCACCGTGGATGAGAGTTGGGGCTTAGCTGCCCCTGCCCCGGCAACTTCTGCTGAGAAGTTCAAGTCTGACCTCAAGCTCTTGATGGTGGACATGGTGAAGAAGTTTGGTGGGCCCGAGCAGTACCTGAGAGCTCGCTATGGTACCAAGACTGCGAAGCAGGAATGGCTCAACCACCTTGCAGAGATCCAACCGTGCCATGGACTCCCTGCAGACGATGCTTTTTGCACAGTGGTTGACATGCCCATTGCAGACCTGAAGCTCTTGAGTAAGGCCAAGGTTTCAAAACTGCAATTTTTAATGGCGGTTGGGGGTCGCAGGTTTTTTCAACATGTGCCATTGCTCTGCCCTGCAGGGCCCTCAGCTGAAGCTTCACTTGGGGAGCTTCAGTTTCTCAGCCAATGCCAGTGTGAGGGGAAATTCCGAGAATGATGTAGTCTTCCTCCTTCTGGATGAAATCCTCCAAGATGGATTCATCACACAGGGAGATCCCGTTTTGATCACTCAGCCGGCAGACCTTCTGACTGAAGTGGAGGACATTGTTTTTGACCAATGGCATTTCTTAGTGAGAAGTTTGCCCAGTAGAAACAAGATTTAATAAGCACAGGACAACCTACAGGCCCCAGCTTTTTGTGCACTTTTCCAGCGCAGGACAGCTTACAGGCTCCATGGCATGTGGCCAATACGATGCAGTTGCGTCCCTTGACTGTTGGGTACTTCAAGGGCAAGAACCGAGTGACTGTGTTGCTGTCGATGCTGAGCTTGGTGAAAGACAGCATGGTGGGTGCAAAGTTGGAAGAGGCTTCGGATCAGCTATACACATGTTTTTTGGGAAATAGGTCAACTCGCAGTTCTGATTCTCTGGCAAAGTTCTTTGCTCCAGGTGCACCCACGGCTCTTCGAGAGCATTCAGTGCATCATGGCACAAAGGGTTCAACTTCCTTCCAAAAAGGATGAGCTGCTGCAGAACTTCAAGATCAGTGTGAGGGGCTCCATCCGCAAAGCACCCAATGTGGTGCCAGGCCCTAAGTTATTGAATGCCACCTGAGAAATCAATAGTTTTTTTTCGGTGTACAGTTTCCGGAAGTTACCGTGCCATCTTTTCAAGGACTTGGATCAGCAGCATCATGCACCTCCAGTTGCAAGACCCTGCTTTTGACGTGGCACAGTTTGCATTGGCCCCAGGTCAATTGGAGTTGCAAGAGCATTGGCCCAATTTTCTCTTATGTTCCTCGGCTCCTAAATGTACAACCACGTTTTGCCCAGGTCAAGGACCACAATCATATCCAGTCCAAAGCTGGCAAGCTGGAGGGCTCCAAGGCGCAGGCTGTCAAGAACATTTTGAACAGTGTTCCGGCCAATGTCAAGAAGCTGATTGTGGACTACTCGGTAGAGGAGGGCTTTGAGCTGACCCCTTGGTCAGACGACAGCCTGGGGTCAAAGAAGTGGCTGCCTGGATATGCGCTGCTTGGATGCTCACACTATCCCATTCCTTTTCCTTAGAATGACACCAGATTTTTTTCCACCCAAGAATGCCTTGACCAGTTTGTTCCTTTTGAAACTTTAAACAAGATGTGTTGCTATATAACTGGCTGATGGATTTCTTGCCGAGGTTTCGTGGACATGGTGGAGCCCCCAACGGTGTTTGGGCGACCCGTGGCAGGGTCACAGAGGAATCACTTGAGCTTTTCGTTCCTTGGTTGCCTGCTGATGGTTGTCATTCAAAATTGGTTTGTGTGTGTGTGACAATATGTCAGGCCAGGCCAATTTTATTTTTTCACCACGATTTTCCAACTTCAACATTGAATTTTTCCAACTTCAACACTGAAGTCATGGCCAGGTGAAGACATTGGTCCAACAGAGCCGCAGAACTCCCCATGACATGAAGAGGAAGGTGGATCGTCAGCAGTGGGACCGCATTGCTGAAGAGGCTGCCTGTGTTTGTCATATGGCACAGGAGGTTCTTGCCCTCATGCCTGTTTCCCCTGAGACCCTCAAGGAGAAGTGGGTGGATGCATACATCAATGGGGAGCAGGCGGTGCTGGTGGAAGTTCAGTCGGCCATCATGACCAGAAGCGCAAGCAATGTCAGGGACATCGCCACGCTGAATGCACTCATGACACAGCATGCATCCACCTGCCCCGTGCCAAAGAAGGACACAGTATGCATGCAGCAGTTGGAGCGTGACAGCTTTGACCTCGTGATGCGACAATTGAACTATGATCTTCAGGCACTCAAAGTGGCCCGGGCGAAACGAGAGTCTTGGTCAGCGAGTGTGTACCATGCCAAGCTTCAGCACCGAGTCCAGCTGCATGAGCAGAGCCTGTCAGCTGCCCAACACTTTCTAGAGAACTTTGTGAAGGTGATTTACGCAGAGACTTCTGATGACATGTTGCGGGAGTTTCAAACGCATCGCCAGTCTGTCATCAATCGCTTGCGTTTGGACGCTGCTGGCTGTGTTTCTTGTCAATGTTTTAGTCTTCCTTTTTAGACAAGAAGCTGGCTTGTTAATAAATCAGTTTTCCATGGGTATGGTTCAGCCATCTTCATCGGGGCCCACATTAAATGGGGCGTCCATTTGAGTTCATCCAGGGCTCACAGTGCTGGCAATGATTTGCCATTGCAGGCCAACTTTGTATTCCTCAATTGGCTGGCCCCTTCGACTTTGAAGAGTTCTATCCAGTCAGCTCAGACCCAATTTACCGCGCATGCCATCACTGGATCTGACCACAACTTTGGAGCAGTTCTCATGCCAATCTTCACCTACAAGAAAGGTCAGCTTTGGATGTTGGAGACAGCAACCTTGCGAGCCCTGGCGATGACTGGTTTGAATGTGGACACTACCTGGCACTTGTGTTTCACGAAGAAGGTGTGATGTTGCTGGAAGCAAAAAAATATATTTAAGGCGTTGAGTCATGATCAATTTGATTCTTGTTTTCCCCCATGTTTGTGTTCCTGCAAGGCGGATGCTCGAGATGGTCGGCCCTGCACTTTCCCTGGCCGATTCTTGTTCCAGAATGTGGCCTCAAAGGACCGGGTTTGGGCCCATTGTTCTTTGGTGAAGACTGGTCGCACCGCAGAAGCTGAGATGCTCCATGCCCGCGACATGATTCAGGTCGAGGATGTCAGTGATGGTGCCCTCCCCCAGACCACTGATGACGACAATGCGACAGTGCAAGGGGCACAGAAGTACCAACAGGCGCATTGTTTGGCAAACATTGTTTGGCAAACATTCCCCCTAAGTCTGATCCTTTTCCAGGTTTAAATTTTGTATCCCACAAGAATTTGACTTTGTAGGTTCAGTGGCTGGGATTTTGAAGGGGAGTTTCTAGGTTTCCAACTTGAGACTTTGTTGCATTTTTCTTGCTGCCCTCTGGCAGATTGGAAATTCTGCTGCTGGCAAAATCTTGGACTCAGTGCTCGATGGGCTGACCGTGGACAGCAATGCTTCACTGTTCATGGTTGACGTCAACCCTGGCGTGGGCAACCTCTTTGACGCGTACGTGCAGAAGCGGGCTGCTGTGAACTTCAACTTCCAGTATGTGGCAATGATGCCTGATGCTGTCTCTGCTGAGTGGTTCAGAGAAACGAAGGCTGGGCCATGAAAAGTTTTGGGTCTGCCGGCTGTAAGTTGTTTAATTTTGTTTTGTGGCAAGGCGCTAGATCACTGGACCTGCTTGTGGCTGGGGTGTTTTTAGTGGTTTCTTGTTGCCCTTTGTTTCCTTTAGTTCTCCCAGGCCCAGATGCTGGCTGCTGGTCACATGGCTGGAACAGTCATCATTCCTGGCCACCCCGCTTCTCCAGCAGAATGCCCGGCCGACCTTCTCGAGAAGGAGCCTGACTTGCCAAAGCTCAACATCATGGTTGCCCGAAGTGACTTGTACCCAGAGGTGCCTGGTGCCACTATCAGGCAGTGGGCACAGCATGAGTTTGGCCCGGAGTTCCAGCGCTTTTTGGATCAAATTCATGAAGAGCATGGTCCCATCCCAGACACTCCTGCTGCAGCTGGTGCTCCTTCCAGCTCTTCTGCGGCACAGGCAGCACAGGAGAATGGTGAGCAGAACGGTGTGACCCCTACTGGCTCTGCACGCAAGAGAAAGGCAGCCAATTCCGGGGTGGGAAGTGCAACCAAGATGGGCAAAGTTGACCGAGAAAAGATCTTACCTACCACTGAGCCTTAGCTTGTTTAGAGAAACAGTTTCAGCTGCTTCAACTTTTCTTTGGTGTGCCTGAACTTTCTTTGGGTGTGTTTTCTTGCATCATGCAAGGACATCAACTTGGAGGAAAGCAAGCTCTGCGAGTGTCCAATGCTGAACAAGTCCAGCAACGTGATCATCCATCTGAAGACTGGCAACAGACCCTACCTGGTCAACAAGTCAGACCACAGTCAGAACTTGGCAGCCGGCACTGTGATTGCTGCGTTTGGTCGTGGTCGATTTGTTCGCCACCAGGCTGGACAGGGTGGTGCTGAAGAAGATCCCAAGAAAGAGATCAAGTACCGCTTGTCAGGGCCTGATCAGCGAGTTCTCTACAATGGAGCACTCACAACTGTCGGTGCACTGGTGGAGGCCCGTCGCAACTCTGGGCCATCGCCTGTTGTGAATGTCAACTACCACAAGATGATTGAAAGGCCAGTGGATGGGTATCCTGGCAACTTTGGACTGCAGATGGTTCACGATCTCCGCTTCACACCCAGTCCTTCTGCGAATGTCGAGAACGAGGGTGGCACTGAGAGCACTGCTAGCCAGACCAATGTTGGTGTGCTCCTTCCTCTCGAAGCATGGCAGAGTTTCTTGTCTGATCATATTTTGCCCTTTCTAGCGATGTTTTGCTTCCTTTTTTGGGTCTGGCAATGGGGCAAATGGCACTGGGCAAGGATTTACAGGACAAAAGCCAAGTATGCTAGGAACATCTAGATGGTTTTGTCTGGGGTCAACAATTTTTCTTGTCATTGGTTTCTCCTTTGGATTCGCAGATCCCAGCCATCCCCAAAACACTCAGCGCAGGTCATTGCACAGAAGTGCTCTTCAGTGTGAAGTGGGCGACAGCGGGCTTGGCGCCGGTGAGACCCCAGGTTGTCTTGACCAAAGACCTGGATCTCCCATCTGGGCGGAGCCTGGCCCTTTTCTAAGCGCCTGATGGGTATGAAGTTGATGGTTGCGAGGCTTAGGTACACGACACCATGTGGTGTGAGATACCATGAGCTGGGATATGCCCTCAGTCTGTTCCCAATTCTTTGAGGCATGCTTGCTTCACATCGACAAATTAATTTTGATGTTCAGCTCTTGGCAGTGGTGGCCACCGAAAAATTCATGTCATTGTACGGTTGTTCCATTTGTTCCACTGAACTTCAAAAACCTTGAACCTGGTTTCTGGATGATTGGTGGCAGCAGCTGCATGTTTGCCATCCAAGAGCCGATTTGAAATCCAGGGAGTGGAATGCTACAGCAGTAGCGGCCGCCAGAAGTGAAAAGATTCAATCTTTCCATCTTGCAAGTCAAGGGCCCGTTTGTGTAAATGGGGTTGTCTGAAACAAGTCTTAGCCATCAAGTGAAAACTTAAGACTTAAGTCAGTCATCACCTTTTGGGGCGCCATATTTTCAGTCAAACCCAAGAACGTTAATAGGTTTGCAGTGTTTATATATATATATTTCACGAGAAATCATGATATTGAAAAAACGTATGATATTCTTCACAAAAACAATTCGTTCCAGAAAATTCCAAAAACTATGTCTCTACTACTTGTTTGATTTGCACATGACGATTTTTGACAAAGACACAGGTCACACAGGGATATTAAACTTATACTGCAGTGTATATATGTAAATGCCTGTTGGCTCACCTCTCATTCAAATTCAGCATATAAAATTTCGAGGAATATAATCCTTTTCTCAGCGAAGGCAAATACATGTGTATGGATATATGATATATGTGATATATTTTGCATTCACATTCTATACATATGATGCATATTTATATATATATCATCTAATGCATATCAATGTGACATTCGTTAAGATTGTACGATGTTCAGGTTTTCAAAAAAAACCAAGCATACATACATACACACAAACATACATGCATACATACATACATCATGCATGCATGCAGGCATGCATGCATACATGCATACATACATACATACATACATACATATATACATATACATACATATACATACATATACATACATATACATACATATACATACATATACATACATATACATACATACATACATACACATACATACATACATACATACATACATACATACATACATACATACATACATATACATACATATACATACATATACATACATATACATACATATACATACATATACATACATATACATACATATACATACATATACATACATATACATACATATACATACATATATAACATATATATATATATCAAATGCCAGACCCTTTGGATGCATTTTCCCATCTCAGGTTTTCAATCAAGCATTAAAAAATGATGATGGACGAACAATTGGTTTGCCCATGGTTTCTAATATTATACGGGTTTGATGACAAGACCTGTCATATTTTCAGCATCTAGTTTCCAGCTCGGCAATTTATGCTTCGCTGAGGTCCGGAAATGGTTCAGCTGTATTTGACAGAGGCGCTGTTATTGCAAGTGCCAGAATGCCATCGATTTGACCGAAAGCCTGGCCCTGCTCGACTCTGGCCAGGATTCATGGACTGTGCCAGGGGAACAGTGATGCAAGCGGAGAGACTGCACTGAATTTTTCATGTACAGTTCTGATTGTACAGTTACACATGTTTGTATTTTGTTGGTTCCATCCAACAAAAAACAACGCCAGGGATGTTGCCACTGGCTAATCAACCGCCCCATCATTTTGCGATGTGCTCTGTTGTGGTAGCTAGTTTCTGTTTGTGCTTCTATGATAGGGATGGTGTTCTGAGATGCCACTTTTGGTGGGGACTTTGATGAAGATTTTCGATGTGATACTATTTTTGGTTGAAACTGCAGTATTTTTCTGATTTCTGAGAGCTTTGAGGCTTGGCGCATTCTTTCTTTCAGAGTGCTTTTTTTTGATCAAGGGTGTGGATGCCACGACCTCATGCCATGGACGTATCTGAACGTGAGAGTGAAGAGCCTATTTGGGTACCTGTCTACTTGCCGCCAGGCATCGGACCAGAAAGCGCCACCGGCAGGGAGCTGACAGAAATTATTCTTAACATTACTCAGGCACTTGCTCCGAACTGGGGTATCGAGTTGGCAACCGATTTAGCGCATTTTTGTGTGATTGAGCTGGAGGTAGATGTTGGCCGTCACTTATTCCATGAGCTCCAAAAAGTGAGCGCTGCCGACATTCAGAGAGCTCGACGATCCCTTACTCAGTGACACTGACTCACTGACCTGAGAGGGAACACAATAGGGACGAGGGAAAAATGGCTGTCCTGCTGACAGATAATTTGTGTGTAAAGGGTTTGACATGGCACTTTCGGTTTCAGTGCCAACAATTTTGATGTGGGCCGCTGTGTGGTATTTGACTTGGAATCTGAACCCCTTGGTTTGGTTTTGCCTTTTGGGGCTTATACATTTTCCAAGATATTTTGAAATTAAACATGTGTACAGGGGAAGCTTTGGGTTTAGTGCCCAACACGGGCTTATAATGTTCAAAATTGAGTTTGTGGCACCCTGACCCAATAAATCCTATAACCCTGACCCAAGAAACCCTGATCAAATAAGCCTTGACACGATAAGCCCTGACCTGATAAATCCTGACCCAATAAGCCCTGACCCAAAAGAGCCTGAACCAATAAACCCTAACCTAAAAAACCCTGACCTAAAAAACCCTAACCCAATAAACCCTAACCCAATAAACCCTAACCCAATAAACCCTTCATCATCCAGGACTTATGAACTTTTAGTGTAAACTTAACTGTAAACTGATGTCGCTTTCTTCCAAAAAGTAGATCTAATATCTTAATATGATTTCTTCTATTCAAATGTAAGTTGATTCATCATATTTCTTGGGTCTGGATCTAATATCTAAATATTTTTCTTTCTATTCAACTGTATTTTGATTCATCATATTTCCTAGTTTTTCGATTTTTTGAATTAAATATTTCATTGCTCTTCTTGCCTCTTGTCGCTCTTGCACATTTCACTTAAGCAGATCCCCCTCCTTGCCAGCACAGATACAAAGGACAAAGCATCAGATACAAAGGGCCGAGTTTTTCAACAGGGTTCCGGAGAAGGTTCCGGAGAAGGTCTGGGAGGCGCCAGGTCAGGTTCAACAGGGTTCCGGAGAAGGTTCCGGAGAAGCATGGAGAAGCTCTTGGCAAGCCTTGGTGCAAAGCCAAGTCAGGTTCAACGGGTCCCGGAGAAGGTTGCTGAGAAGGTCCCGGAGAAGGTTTTGGGAATCTTTTGTGCAGGGCCAGATCAGGTCAACAGGGTTTCGGAGAAGGTTCCGGAGAAGGTCTGGGAGGCTTTGGTGCAGAGCCAGGTCACGTGCAACAGGGTTCCGGAGAAGGTTCCGGAGAAGGCGTGGGAGGCTTTGGTGCAGAGCCAGGTTAGGTTCAACAAGGTTCCGGAGAATGTTCCGGAGAAGGTTCCGGGAGGCTTTGGTGCAGAGCCAGGTCAGGTTCAACGGGTCCCGGAGAAGGTTGCTGAGAAGGTCCCGGAGAAGGTTTGGGGAATCTTTGGTGCAGGGCCAGGTCAGGTTCCAACAGGTTCAAAGGGTTTCCAGCGCTTGGTTTCGCAGCACGCTTCAGAAAGATTTGTAAAATATAAAACGTTGCGGCTGTTGGGGATACCACCGAAGCTTATTTTCTTTATAGTTGCTTGCCTGCATTTCCATTTCTTTTTAGCCGCATTTGTATAGTAGTTTATTGTACCCTTTAAGCAATTCCACTGACGAGAAAAGTATCTAGAACCCAAACTATTTCGTGTGTCTCCGTTTCCCGGAAACGGGTTTTGGCACGAATAATTTGAAGAAGGAGAGAGTACGCTGAAGTTGCTGCACTTGGGGTTCAATGATGCGAAGAAAATTTCACCAGCAATCGGGCAGACATGTTTGATTTGTGGCCAGCATCTTTAATTGCATAATCAAAACCCGTCACTGTAAAGTTGTTTTCTTTAATTTTGTCCAAGTTGGGACTGCATTAAGAATTATCAACGGCTTCTCCGGGACCAAAGCATATCCTTGACGCTCGGATTCTCCTGCTTCAAATCCATGTTGCAAATTTTGCATTTCTGAAGGAAAGTGTTCAAGACACAGTGACGGAGGCTGAAAAAAACACATGAAAAACGTAAACAAAATATTGGTGCGGGCGTCACACATCAAAAAACTTAAGGAAAGATAATTTTTGCGCACCCAAAGTTGCACCAATAATTGGTGAACCCCGCCACCCTCCCTGCCACCCTCCCCGGCCACCCTCCTAGCACCGCTTTTTGTAGGGATGTTTAGCAGCCACTGGTCCTACCAATATATAACAGATATATGATTATATATGATTAATAGATCTGTTATAATAATATATATATGATTATATATGATTTCTGTTGATTGGTATATATATATATGTAAATTGATATAAAGTATAAATATTTGTTTGATGATTCTCTATACTTGATTCTGAATTGATAGTGAGAATGAAATCATGTCATATATGATTATATAGTGATATCGTTCTGTTTGTTTCGGAATGATGTATGATACTAAAAAGCATTGACATAGTTTCAAATTATGATTTGCCGATGCTTTCCATCTCTGATAGAAATACGTATGTTCCATCTTAACTGGGACGATTGATGATGTAAAATGTGACTAGTATTTCACTAACAATACTAATAATCGCACCACTAACCAGATATGACCTTGCGACGCAAATGTATGCGAGAGTAGTTCTTATGTTGGGATACACATTTGAATAAACACATTCTGAACATCGCGATGTAAAGATGGCTTTGTCTGAAAATTGGCTACCCCAAAATTTGATGGTTATCATGATCTCATATTTTTCGCACAAAAAACTCACTGTTTCTTGGGGTTTAATACCATCTTTGCAGACAAACCTAGATGAAGCTTCCCGAGCTCCGTTTCCCTTCGGTTCCCGGTGGAAGGTACATTGGACCAACGAGACCTTTGAGTCCAGTATGGGCGAGAAACCACAGAAGGAGCTGCAGAAGGTCTGGATGAAATCAGGTGTTGTTCAGAAAAAAACATCTTGGAACACCACCTGAAGTCACATGGGTTGGGTTGAAAATCGGGTATACCGTATACCTCAAAATCTCATAGTTGATCACCATGTTCCCCATTGAAAAAGCCTTTTTTTGTTGGGTTATTTCCAGCGACACCCCTGGAGCCAGGTCTATACGGATCTGGTTCTGCGGCGCGATCGTCAGGGGATTCGGCAGATTGCGAAGCGCATCCAAAACGAAGAGACCTGGAAGGTGGTCTATAAGCAGGTCGAACAGGTGGGGGAGTGGTTGGAGTTGGAGGTCGCTTGAAATAGGGAAAAATCAATGTGGCTCACCGTTTTTTGATGAATATGGGTGTAAAACCCATGTAAAGCCCACCAATGAATGATATGATATGATTAGGATGCAATCCACGTCACATGATCGTCTATGGTTAAAGTATGTTAAAGTGGTTGATTCTTCATGTCCACTCCCAACTACGTCAGTTTGAGGGAGGTAAAATGGTTTTCTGAAGAGAAACCCACATCGATTTGGCAGAAATCCCGAATTGACATGAATTGAAGATATCAGTGGATCTGAGCAGGCAACTGGTAGAATAGAGGACCAAAATCAAGCCAAGTTTCTGACCTCCAAGCTCAATGCGTCAGGAGCGTCGCGCGGACATCCGTGCAGATCTACAAGAGCGGCAGGCGCACACGGATCGCTTGATGGCAATGTCTGGACAGCCCGTGCAGCAGGAGATTTGCTGATTTTGCTGGAGCTGGGTTAGGTTTCTTTCCCTTTTTTTTGACCTTTGAAACTATGAAAAAGGCAAGTTTGAAACATATTGGTAACCTAGTGGATTTATACATCATATATATTTGTTTATTTATTTATTATTTATTTATTTATTTATGATAATATGATATGAGTTAAGATCCTATCAGATTATGACATCAATTTTGACATGAAGTTCTAGTTCCACACTTCGATCCAGCGCAGGATAGACGGCGCGAGCCGTTGCCTAACAACTGCTCGCAGAGAAGCGAGGAGAATGTGGTGCATTTTTTCCTGGTGCCAGGAAGAGTCATCATTTATAAATGAAGTTTATAGATGTTTATAGATGTTTATAGATGATTTTCCCATTGAAACCTCCATTTCGTTCGGGGATGTCACATCTGATTATCGAAAGGGAGCCTTCAAGGACTTGATGATGGCCCTGCCATCATCCGCTTACTCTTGGTATCTGCAGTTTCAGGGGTCATATCCCAAGTTCTTCTTTGGCTACCATCAGTGTGTTTTTTTCGGTAAACCCAACAATAATCCTTCATTTTTGGTGTGGTTTCTAGAGATGAGATGATCCATAGATATCCATAGTGCAAATTTGGGTTCAATTCTCAGGGATGGTTTCCCAGCCCAGGAAATTCTGAAAACAAGGATCAAAGTCGTAGCGATTATTTGCGTTTGCTTTCATACCGTCTCCAAGAGGTCATAGCAATTGTGGCAGTGACTGGATTTGCAATACTTCCGATGGGACTTGGATCATCCTAGGGGAGAAACACAAGGAATTAGTGACGAAATAACGGCGAAATCAAAACGACATATGGAAAATAAGACGGACATGGAATACGGGAATAAACATATAATATAATAAAGAAGTAATGGGGAAATAATAGGGCAGTAATAGGGAAATAATGGGGAAATAATAGGGAAATAATAGGGACATAGGAAATATTAGGGAATAATAGGGCAAGAATGGGGAAATAATAGCGACATAATAGGGAAATAACCGAAAGAAGTTTAGAAATCAAACTTTCGACTTGTGGACAGATGCAGCAACAATGGTGAGAGCAGTGGGAGAAGAGAAGGAGTCAGTAGAAAGAAGATCAAGGTGCCCGAAAAGGTAGAAAAGTCGCGAAACTATGTTTTTCCAATATGTTGTGGCTCCGGATAGGCTTGCTAAAGCGGCGGGAGCGAAGCCATCTGGTCGTGTGAGAGACGGAAAATTGCATGCCATTGTGGTGCGAAGTCCATTTTGAAGTCAAAATGCATTGAAAAAACCTCATGTTCGGAGCACTTTTGGAAGTTGAGATGTTGAGAAAGTGCACGCCATTGTTCCGCGAAGCACA